TGGTGGAGTCCCCTTCCCTGGAGGTGTTCAAGGAACGTTTGGATGTTGTGTTGAGGGATATGGTTTAGCGAAAACCATTGGTGATAGGTGGATGATTGGACTGGATGATCTTATAGGTCTTTTCCAACCATAGTGATACTGTGATTCGTGATTCTGTGAAACAGCGAGTCAAGTCTTCTGTTGCAGGTTTTTACAAGTGTGACATGAAGTTCATCGCTGATGAAAATGAGTAGCTAATGGTGGTGACTGTGTTGGAAAATTGCATTTTATATATAAGACTGTGCTCTGTCAAATAGTGCTATTGAGCTCTTTGTATGTTCTAGTTTCCATGGAAATAAATAAGAGGCATTAGGTTTCCATGGGAACAAATAGGAGGCATTACTTTCAGAGCTCCCTATGCTTATGGTCACCAGTTCTGTGATTTTGGAAACAGGGATGGTGTCAGAGTGTGGTGGAGGAGGAAAAAACAGGGTTCTAGGGCTGTGCTGCCCTCTCTCCTCTCTCTTCTAGAGTTTTTCCAATTTGGTGAGAAATCTCTATCCGCATGAGCAAAACACCCAAGCACAGGAATATCCACATTCATGCCTATGCACTAAAGTCTTCCACTGATTTTTCTGTGGCAAAGCTTGAAGTTATAGACCACAGCAGGCATTTCAGAATGGGTTCAGTTATTAAATGTTTTAAGGGTTTAACAACTCTGTTTGTTAAGTTTTGGATTGTTTTGGTTATGGGTTAAAATAAATAGCCATAAATAAATACCTTAAAGTTGTTGATACTTATTTCCTATCCTTGTCATCAATAGAGGGCAAATATTTCTGATTAGCAATGGATCTAGCTTCTGCTCCACTGACAGCTCTAGCTTCTCTTATAGTAATGGGGAAGCCTGCATTTCTTTCCATGTCCAACTCTATGGGATGTAGGATGCACCCTTCTCTCCAGGGACCAGGAACGAAACAGTGCACCAGAACACAGCAGTGAGTGAATGGTGAGGTCTTAATCCTCTTGTTTTAATTGCTTGTCTTTGTTCTAAACTAACATTATTATTTTTTTAAACTTTTATTATTATTATTATTAAGAATTTTAAAGAGAATTTAAAAGAGGATTTTTTGAGGTCAGTAAGTTAAAAAACCACACTGAATTCTTTCCAAAGTTGTGTTTGACTGCCATCCAGTGGGGTGCTCAATTAAGCAGCTGGAACTGAGATATTAGCAATCTTAATATGAAATACTGGGCTGTCATTTTAATATAAGACACAGAGTAAAAAAAATGAATTACTGGTGTCAAATTTGATATTTGAAAAAAGATATTACATTATTTAATGAGAATTAAATAGAACCTCTGCATACAGAAAGTTTAATGTCATGAATTTATATTAAAATACAGTTACTAAGTTACATGTAAGATTTTTCATTGCAGTTATTCTTCTTTAAAAAAAATATTAACTTCTTTTGATCTTAATATAAACACACAGTGTGGCTTTGAACACCACACAGATGAAAGTACATGGCAATTTCTGAGGAACCTGCAGCTTCGGCTCTCAAGTCACATTACACCAACCACACTGTCTTTATCTGAAATTGCTGGGATTTAAGCAGAACTTCAATGAAATGCTATTTCTTTTAAATTACTGTTCACTTGGATAATGCTACTAATCTTGACAGTAGTGCTTAGATTAACAGGCATATCAATCTAAGGGCAAATACACTACGTACCATGTCTTAGAGTTCTCAGAAAAATCATATGTAATTATATAAAAATACATACAGTATGTATACAGACACATTTTATTCAGTGCAGGTGTATCTACATCTGTGTTGTTGTCAAACCATCCTGTTCGTATACACTAAGGTTTTTCTTTATGCTGAAGTCATTTTATAAGAAAGATTTTCAAAATGATATGCAACAGTAATGCTTACCCTTGCAACATCTGAAGTCAACAGATCTTTACTGTTGTCTTTACTAAGAGCAGAATAATGAAGGGGATGGTTTATCCTCATTAACAATGCATGTGGATTGCTTTGATAGCAATGTCTCCTATTTTATTATGTTGGCCAACAATGTCAGAGGTGGATGTTGGTGGTATAGCAGCAGAGGTTGAACCGTCCTGTCAATATTCCATTAAATTTTGTTGCCATGCAACAGATGATAGCAGAAGGGCAGTTGGATAAAATTGAGTCTGAAATGGACGTGTGTACAAAGAAAAGGTGTGTAATAAAATTCCTCCATGGGGAAAAAAATGGCACTCACTGGCATTCATGGGCTCTT